TATATATAATATGAACGCCGCGTAAATAATATTATCATCGTAACGTAGCTAACTATAAATTATCTTATCGTTTGAAGGAAATGAACGTTAATTAAGTAAAACTAAACGAAGTCATGTCACGACTAGGTTGTAGTAGTTGCAATCCGTCGTAAGTCGATACAAAGTCCTTCCGTCGTTCAACCCGTTTCTCTTAGTACCTACTTAGGAAAGTTCCTTTTACGTTTAACACGTGCAGGACTAGAGACGCGGATGTCGTATCGAAGAAAATCATGGAAGCGTGCGAGCTAGCGTTTACCAATACATCGGACCACTGATGTAGGAGGGGACTCGCCTTCATATACCTACATTCTATGTTACTCGAACGCGATTCTGAATTATGCTAATTTATGCTAATAACGAAGAAGGTGCGCAGGCACAGACTACCCTTCACGTAGTTATCTGCGTACTACTTTATAATCTCCCTTTCTTCGTGTACTCCTTCGTTTTTCTCGCGTTTCCGTCTTTCATTTCTTCGAGTAAGACCGCATAGAACATTCTGCTTCTTTACTCTCTCTTCGCATAAGTTCTTTTTCTTTTTCCCTAACCTTTTGTAATAGTGGAATTACAAAAATTCTTTCGCTTCCCTGACTTTTCCTATTACGTCTTCTGTAAGTCGTAATAAAATGGGTTTTTATGAATTTCATTAACTGTTATTTTACGATTATTTTACTTTCATTCAAGTGCCTTAACCGTTATAATAAAGTTTGATAGTAGTTTTGTTATCTTAGCGAAATCATTTTTATCAATTTACAGGAAATCAAGTTAATACTTTTTATTGTCCAATGTAATAGTTTTTTTAGTAACTTTGTTAAGAAAGATACTAACAAATTGGCAAACGTAATCAATTGGTAAATCCATTAGAGTCACACATTGTTTATCGATTGTGTGCTAGTATGTTTATCGTTCCTCGATTGACTTACCTCTTAGCTGTTATGCGTTTACCCGACATTACCATAAGGTACTTCGATTTACCCTTGCAGATTGTTCACTATTCTCGAGTAGGCAAATATTAGCATTACGTACGATTTCTGACCTACTTGATTCAATTGATTATCCTCGAGAGTATTACAAAATAGTTTAGCAAAAACTAAATATCAATAAATAAGTTTAATTGTAAGTTAATATGGTCTATCAATCTTTATTAAATATCTAATAAATAATATCAATATCTATAATAAAGTACCAACACATATTTTATTTAACGATCAATGCAATTTCCTACAAAGTATAATTTTAAAAAGAAATTTTTCCGGTTCCGAGCGATGTGGATTTCAACTTAAATTTGTCCGTTCCTTCCTATTTGCAAAGCACATTCTAAGAAACTGGAGCAGAAGGCATAAAAGGAATTCGTGTCACAAGCAAAGAGAAAAATATACTCGGTCGATAAGCTTGGAAAAAAAAAGAAAAGTAACTCTGTACGGATTGGCTTCAAGGAAGCCGTATGTGTCTTTTCGGAAAGGAGTGAAAAAGAAAAAGAAAAAAGTAGAAAGGTGTATGTTTCTCACTTCTGCGAACATATATATATAGTGCCAGGAAACATTTTACCTCTCCAACGATTCGAAGCCGTAGAACGAGAAAAGAGAAAAAGGGTGGAAAAGGGAGAAATAGTTCCGAAATGCACCGCAAACGGCACAAAATCACCCTTCTGATATATCCAGTGCATGCACGAGAAAATAAGAACGTGAGTGTGTAATCACCGAATGATTTTCTGTCGCTTTTTAACGTTTTACCTTGCAGAGAACAAGAAAAGAAAAGAATAGAATAGAATAGAATAGAATAGAAGAAAATGAAGAATGAAGACGCATTCGAAGAAAAAGTCGAAATAAATAAAGCCAGAAATAGTAAAAAATAAGGCCACTAAAATGAGAAAAATAAAGTAAATTCAAGATTTTATTTCAAGTAACAATTCAGAGATAGAATAAATATTATAAATTGATAGAATTTAATCCATCAATAATAATCTATCCTTTAACACAGTTCTATCGTGAAATTACTAAACGTTTCTAGAATCGTCAAGTTTTGTTGTGAAAAAGACGTAACGTCGTTTTGTGCGGGACCGAACCGTTCGTTGAAATTGAATTTTTATTCGATCCAATGCATTTTGCAGGGTCAGTCGACGTCTTGCGGCGATGTAATATGATATTCCATAAGAGTCTATCGACAGACCGAGAAGACAACCATGTTATGAAAAGTGTCCTAGGTTTTCTCAGCTAAATGCTAACGTGTTCTACGAATGATATAATAGTAAGAAATAGATTTGAATATGATTTTACTAGTATATGATATATTAAAAAAAATATAAGTATAAAAGACTTAATGATTTTTTTTATCCAACGATATCTGTGATGATATTATCCCTTTGATTTACTAACTTTGAACATTTTCATTATTATTATCTCTATACTTTTTGGTTAATTTAGAAAAAAGGAAAGTAAAAATAAAACGTTATTATAGGTTTATCATTTCTATTTATTTAACAATTAATATTTATTCGGAATAAAATTTGAATATTTTGTAGTTATGTATGCTTAAATATTTAGACAAACATAAATAGAATAAATATATAAAATGCGTAGATGTTTTTTCGAAGCAAATGGCTAGCAATGTCAGATAACTAAAAAGAACGAGGTGTTTCACAATATCAATATCAATGTATATCGAATACGATATGAATGCTACTGAAGGAAACGTCGACATCTCTTTTCATCTCTGGGATAGTCTTTTTTTATCATTTCATTCTTCTTTGCATTTTATTAGAATTCTCTCAAGCAATATATTTTCTTGTTCTATCATTTCTTTCTCTCGTACTATCTTTTTACCTTTTCTTTGAGATCCTTTCATTCTTTTTCCTTTTCTTTTTCTTTTTCTTTTTTCTCTCTTCCTTTTTTTCATTATTCTCCTACTTTCTTCTTTTTGTTATTTCTTTTTTGTCCTTTATCAGTGTGTTCTGGACAGTACGTGAAAAGAGAGTTAGAAAGAGAATAAGAAAGAGAGAGAGAGAGAGAGAGAGTGGGCAGAAGTGAAGAAGACGAAAGAGCTGCTAACATTCGTTTCGAATTCTCTGAGTTGAGAACGGAGAGTGGTTTGCTCGAGGACGAGTCAGCCGACTTATTGGGTTAGCGAGCTACCATAGGACGTGACGGAAATGTGACGACGAATTCTGCTGTGCCTTTGCGAGAACGTGACGACGTTTCGACGTTAGCAACGAGTATAACGAACAAAAAAGCTTACTTGTGTTCTTTGACGTTCTCATGAACGAATTTACAGTGCAGACAGCTTCTTTCAGAAAATATTTCCACGAACACTTTATGATCATATTATTGACACATCGATAAAGTAAAATGATATCTTTAACAAAAGAAATAATACTATTGTTATTTCTTATTTCTATTAATAGGTAGATGCATTTTTCCAAAATTAAAACGCAAAATTACTAGAATGCTTCTTATGGATTAAAATGATATCGTGTAGGAGATTTTAAATAGTTTGGTTATTTATAACCACGTAGAATTTTTTGTATTTATTTATTTATGATATGATTGTTTCGTATTTTTATTTCAGAATAAATATAAATCCTCCTGATATCTTGTTACTGCTACTCGATATACGAGTCAGTGTATGTAACTTTGCGATTCGAGGATTCGTTCAGGGATTTACAGGAAAAGGAATACCGCGATCGTGAAACACGACACTCGATTTAGATTCGTCCGATATCGCATGAATATATGTTTAGAAAAGTATTACTTTCCCAATTTACTGATTTACATTTTAAAATATACGCTTGTCATTTAATTTATGTTAAATATTTCTTTCGCATTATTTTCTTTCACGCAATTGAAAATTACGAAAATTTCGTATTTCTTTATAAAAATAATTTGTTTAAGTTTTATTATATAGTATATGGAAACTATTTTAATTAAATTCGTCTTTATCGTCAACGTGTAACGTTTCTCTCGTTTGTTGTTTCTATTTGATTTTGATTTCGTTTTTGATTCTAATATTTTTCCCGATATATTTTCAACTCTGATTTCTACAATCTTTTTCCAATTTATTGTAGCTCAAAATGAAAAAAAAAAACAGAAAAAAAGAACATACTAAACGAAAACCATTAAATAATTAGTTGCTGTTTATTGTTTCGTTTTTAATTGGTTTAATTAAATACATACAATGACGTAAAATGTTTAAATATTTCACATTTGTATTAATAAACAATTATTATTATTTTTATCTCAAAATTGAAGGTATATTAGTTGTGATATAATTTTAAAAGATCATTTCGAAGCGCATACTATCTGAAAAGTTTTTCTTTCTTTTCTTTTTCTTTTTATCATCAAAATATATTGCGTTATTCATGAAACAGATATTTTTATTTGACTCAAACGATCGAAATTTTCTTCTATTAATTACCAAGAGGGCAACGTACGAGTTTATTCACAACCTGTACACGCGTTACGTTAAACGAATTTAAGTCACGCGAAAAGAGTTACGTGAATCGCCGTTATTTGTGAAAATATTTAGGGGTAGCTGTTAAATTGCATCACATAAATACTACCGTTATACTGTAGTAACGTTTCACATTCCCAATTCGCATTTAACGTTAAACGAGGTAGTCTCGTTTCGAGTAGTTGTTTACGATTGGCCAGGCGTATACAGTAACAATACAAAAAAAAATAGAAAATATGCATACTCGTTTGGAAAGTCTATGTGGTACGTGTAGAATGAAAATATAATAAATTTAAATCCTTTTAACACGCAACATCTACGATGACGATTTTTAAATACGATATTTTTTAACCAGTTTAATTATCAAACAATGTACAGTCTATTTTCAAATATACTGTATTAATTTGCATAAGATTTTTTATTCTAAAATGGTAATGATATTAGTGTTAATTTTTAAATAATATTTGTTAAATATCTCTTAATTATAACCATTAACAATGATTATCAAATTTGATCATATTTATTACTAGAAAAACAACGATGTTATTTCTTGTCATCGTTGAATAAATAAAAGAACAAAATTCAAACTGATACAAATATTTCTTTTTCTTACAGCTTGGAATACTATTGGTGGTAAGGCTCGCCCTCCTTCACGGTGCTTTACCGAAATTTTCGCCACAGGATAATCCTGCAGCTTTCCATCCCTTTTTCCACGTTAGGTAAGTTATGTAGCGACATATTTAAACATGTAATAATTATCAGGGATCACAATTTGAATAAATGTTTTCTTAAAAAAAACTTCTTCGTTAAGCACGAAGAAGTAAAATGATAATGAAATCGTCGGTTATAGAATAAAAAATATTAAAAAAGAACGAAGAATATTTAAGATATAATTTTATCTTCAAATGATGAGTTTATAAATGTCTAGTTGCTATGCTTGTTAAAATGCATGAATTAAGAAATAAACAACATCAGAAAGTCTGACTAGAAAGTTATTTTTTTTTTTCTTTTCGAACTCTCGTTCAAAAAGCCCTTTAGGATCAGTACCACTTCGTAAGATTTGAACCGAAAAAACGTTCTTTAAAACCTCTTTAGTTTTGATGTTAGTTTCTGACCAGTTCAGAAGAAAAAGAATGAAATTCTTTTTTATTCGAACGTCGCGCCTTCACTTCTCAAAGAGATCCTAGTATTTCTTCAACAACTTCTACGAAAAATATTTTAGTAAAACACTCGAAACCCAAGCAGCCAGCTGAGAGTACACGATATTCCTGCAATTTTACAAAACTTTTATCCGTTTTCCCTGATTTCGAACTTTGATCTCTTCGTTGTTTTTTTTTTTTTTTACTTTGAAAAGAAGTCTAGGATATTAAGCGTGGATAATGAAAATGAAGAAACTAAATATCAATTAAATTAAGATTATAAGAAAAAAAGTGTGATATTTATTTAAAAATGGGTATAAAACGTCATATTTAAAAGTATCTTGATGTTTCTTATAATCTCTTCTATTCGCGATCATCCTTCCCGTTGTCGATCCTTTTCCTTTTCCTTTGATTTTACAACTCGACCGGTCAGGTAGAAAATAAATTCCATTCGTCTTCCGATCGATCTAATGGGGAAGCGAGACTATGATTCTTGCTCTCCACCGGGACTAGCATTTCTTTTCGACTTATTCTGTATATTATAACTTCGACTTTTCGACTCACACGAGCGAGCATGGGAAAAAGATTCAAAAATACGATTAGATTTTACGCATCGACGAACGTGTCCAAGAAATCCGATTTCGATTTATTCCAGTCGTCCAGGTTATACCCTCTTATTTCGCATATATATTGCTTCCTGTATTAGATATCATGTAATAATGACGTGCTCGTGAATTATTACAATTCGTTAATGGGATTAATTTTCTTTTTTTATTACGTTTTATCAGAGTGTGACTCGTTATTTAGTTTAGTAATGATTCAATATGTCATAATGAATTATCTTTGTTTTTAATTATATTGGCAATATTTATAAATTTCGGAAGTAGATAGTAATGCCAGAAATACATGTTACAAATTAAAAAATATTTAGTTGACAAGTATAAAATTTGTAATGTGTCACATTGTCAACTTAGTTTTTCTACAAATTTCATACTCAACGATCTAATATATCAAATATTTTTTAACGATAAATAATATCTGATAAATCGTCTGTTTGATTTCGTATCGTAGATCTTAGTTCCACGATAAGATGAAAAATTAGATCATTCGTTTGCAAAGTAATACGCAACCCTTTTTATCGGTTTCCGATCACCTACGATCGGTTCATAGCGATTTGCGAAAACATGTGGCTATTTTGTCCGAAAGATGAATTGCTGATACGTGAGAAGAAACTTTCTCGACTTGGATTGCTTTGAGAAATCTGCAATATTCGGAAATCGCAGCTCGACAAAATATCGAAGTCTTTAGTAATGCATAACTGATGCTTCTTTTTTTTTTTTTATATATATATTTCAACGGAATTTCTTTACAGTAAAATTAGTAAAATTATTTCATTAAATTCCATCGGGTATAATATTGTAAATTACGCGTTATCTCATTGACAAATAAAAAAATTGTAATTAATCATTCAATGTTTCACAATTGCCAATCATATTTTCTTATATATTCACAATTTATTTTATAATTTATTCAATACATTCAATGAAAAGATCAATGTTCGTTGAAACAAAAGAATCAATCAGAAAACTAAGACGAAAGCTTCGACTTTAAAGATTACAGATAACGGTGGAGAAAAAAGGGTTGGGAGGTAGGGCGGGGTACCCGTTCAATAATTTTAGCATATTGAAATATTATTTTGTTCCATTCTAACCGTTTCGTCGTATCAGCGTAGTATCGATACCCCTTCCAACCTATTGTTCGCTCTTATTATTCTTCTTTCCACCCTCGAATCGATTCTCCTTACCAAATCTCGTCGAAATCCTCTTCCTTCAAACTCCTCTCTTCTTTCTTTCCTTTTGTCAGATCTTTTAGAATATTATACGAATATTATACGAAATACTAAAAACTGTTTCGGAATATCTTATGAGATGTATAATTCGGAATATATACTTGTGAGAATTTATGATTATTCTAGTCTACGCGACATGTCGTTTTCAAAGTGTTGGATATTTGGCCTTGCAAAACACATTAACAAATGTTGCATATCTTCTTAGAATATTCTAACAAGTTTTTACATTCTAAAATGTGTTCATTTATGTTTTCTACATCTAGGGTCATTATTAACTATCTGTTATTGGTCGATATATGAAACTAAAACCCTTGGAAATTTAAGATACATTTACACAAGTTGAAACGAGACAAAATTCAATAACGTAATATTTCAAAACAATGAAATGGTTACATATGGTTATTAAAAGTATATAAAAAAATTGTCTGCATTTTTATCGAGTTAGTATAGTATCTATTTTTATATAAAATTACATTAAAATTGTTCATAATCTTTGATATTATTTGAAATAATATTTAAATCATATTAATTATATTTTAACGACAAAATAATATATATCCAATTGTTGAATACACGTTCACATATACATATGCATATATTGTAAATAGTATCGATACATAAAGTAAATGTTAGAGGTTTGTATACCAGGAACATTCTCTAGAGAGGATCGTTATTAGAATAAAGTATTACCCCGTTGCGATACCCGAACGAATACCCTGGACTTACCATGAATACTAACCAACTAGGACTTAAACTATTCTCGCTTTAGAGGTCGCCTAGAGAGAAATGAGGGGAAGGGGTAGTAGTAGATAGGTGAAGTATTATATGTGGTGTACAGGGTTGATTCTTAGAGCTCATTAAAAAGCTACTTTATGGTGGTTATACATATTAGAGCACATATGAAAGCAATTATTTCGTAATTAAAAAATTAATTTATCTTGAAAAATTAATTTAAATTTAAGTATTTTGTTTGTTTTCTTTCCACTCCCTTCTTATTCTTTTTGATACAGTTTTTGGTCGTTAGCATAGATACATATATAATAATATTTCCTTGTATTACTAAAGACGCATCATTTTCACGTATTCCACAGTAGTATTGCGTAAAATATTAACGATGGTAAGAGCATCGTCTAGTAGGAAATATGCTCGACGCGTTACATTACTCTCCCCCTTTTCCCCTTTTCTCCCTTCCACTCTTCTCTTTCATCCCTTGGTGTTTCGAGTTTGCTGCTTCGCTTACCAAGTCGTCTTTATGGAGGTACGTTTCCTATTATATACAACCTCTACGATTCTCCATCTTTAGTCAACTTCGCTGCAGTATATGATGTATTATGCATAGGAGTATGAATGATTAGAAGCTATGGTATAACTAAGTTAAAGCGTTTTCAGATTCATTGTATACGTTGTTGAGATTAGTCGATAGCCGAATGATGACTTTGCTTTAATCGTTTTGATTACGTTTAAGTTATTACACACGAGATTCAAACTCATTATTGTATTGTTCAATAATTATTTGCCTCTTTTCAATTGGATAAGTTCCAAAGAAAAGTAGGTAATTGTAAAAAGTTAATTTTCTTAAACGAAAGATCGAATTTTACGTCTTACTTGGAGAAACTATGTTATATTTCAAGTTGCACAATCGTACTAAGTTATTTATATATTTATATTCACTTTGAACATTCATTAATTTTGTTAATATAACTATTCTAGTTAAGCATAATAAAACAAACGTTATTAGAGCAATAGATTGTATTTATATATCGTAGACACATCATTAATATTTTTTTTTAAATGACCGAAAACGTTTATTGAAATTTATATCGCATTGTAACTCGTAAAATCTTTCCTACGTTCGTTCGTCCGGTAATACTCGTCCAAAGATTCATAACTTCGGGAAGGTTTAAGCTCGGAGACACTGTAAAATATATTTCAAAGGGGAAAGAGTAATACGGTAAACTGTTTACATAACTTTTCTCGTAAAAAAGTTACTGAACTTTTTACTCGGTTGCGTATTTAATATCTACTTTCTTTCTTCTTCTTCTTCGTCTTTTTTTTTCTTGTTTTTTTTTTGTTTAAAGAACATATGCGGAGAACGGAAAGTCTCTGCTTGTTGTGTCGCGGTGTGTGCCATGAATAAATTAACTCTATCAATGAATTTAGATTTATATATATAAATCAATCAATTTCGTAACGTGACATAATCCATCCCACATTTTATACGGATAAATTATCTTTTATTGTTAAACCGTACGTAGGTATCCGTTGTGTTTTAGTTAACGGAAAATATACTTTACAAATAATGACATTTCTAGGAAAAATGTAACGTCGATCAAAGCGTGATATTATTTTCAACAATACGGCTCTTGATTTTGTAATATAATTTTACCTGTCAAGTCGAATATATTGCTTTCGACACGCGATTTTCAATATGATAAAGTATTCCTCGATAAAGAGCATTTCTGATTTCAAGAGATACATTAATTTTTTTGACAGTAGATATTGATAAAGTACCTCTCATAATCTAGATTGAAACACTACAGGCAATTTTTTCGACACCCTATTTAACTAATAACGATTCTAACAATTGATATCAAATAATTTTCTAATTTGTTTTAAAATTTATCAATTTACATTCACCTATCATCATATTTTATAGTATTACATATTAGATACACGTCGCTATGAAATATAATATTAAATTCGTCATGAATTTAAAAAAGAATCAACATTC